AAACAATTAACAGTGGAACCAAAGCAAACCAACCGCATCCAGCCAACGGAAAACAAACAAAAAAGAACCAAAGCAAACCAAGCGGAAACCAAACAAACGGAAAACAAAAACAATGGAACCAAAGCAAACCAACCGCACCCAACCAACGGAAAACAAGCAAAAAAGAACCGGACACCAAACAAACGAAAAAACAAAAACAATGGAACCAAAGCAAAACAACCGCACCCAACCAACGGAAAACAAACAAAAGAGAACCAAAGCAAACCAAGCGGAAACCAAGCAAAAGGGAAAACCAAAAGCAACGGAACCAAAGCAAACCACTCGCACCCAACCAAGGGAAAACAAGCAAAAAAGAACCAAAGCAAACCAAGCGGAAACCAAACAAACGGAAAATAAAAACAATGGAACCAAAGCAAGCAAACCGCACCCAGCCAACGGAAAACAAACAAAACAGAACCAAAGCAAACCAAGCGGACAGCAAACAAACGGAAAACCCAAAAAAAAGAAACCAAAGCAAACCAACCGCACCCAACCAACGGAAAACAAACAAAAAAGAACCAAAGCAAACCAAGCTGAAACCAAACAAACGGAAAACCAAAAACAATGGAAGCAAAGGAAACCACTCGCACCCAACCAGCGGAAAACAAATAAAACAGAACCAAAGCAAACCAAGCGGAAACCAAAGAAACGGAACACCAAAAACAATGGAACCAAAGCAAACCAACCGCACCCAACCAACGGAAAACAAACAAAAATGAACCAAAGCAAACCAAGCGGAAACCAAACAAACGGAAAACAAAAACAATGGAACCAAAGCAAACCAACCGCACCCAGCCAACGGAAAACACTCAAAAAAGAACCATAGCCAACCAAGCGGAAACCTAACAAACGGAAAACAACAACAACGGAACCAAAGCAAACCAACCGCACCCAACCAACGGAAAAAAACAAAACAAAAAAGAAACAAAGCAAACCAAGCAGAAACTAAACAAACGGAAAACCAAACACAACGGTACCAAAGCAAACCAGCGGCAGCCAGCCAACGGAAAACAAACAAAAAAGAACCAAAGCAAACCAAGCGGAAACCAAACAAACGGAAAACCAAAAACAACGGAACCAAAGCAAGCAAACCGCACCCAACCAACGGAAAAAAAACCAAAAAACAAGCAAACCAAGCGGAAACCAAACAAACGGAAACAACAACAACGGAACCAAAGCAAACTAACCGCACCCAACCAACCGAAAACAAACAAAAAAGAACCAAAGCAAACCAAGCGGAAACCAAAACGAACAACAAAAACAATGAAACCAAAGCAAGCCCAGCGGAAACCAACCAACGGAAAACAAACAAAAAAGAACCAAAGCCAACCAAGCGGAAACCAAACAAACGGAAAACACAACAACGGAACCAAAGCAAACCAACCGGCCCAACCAACGGCAAAAAAACAAAACAAAAAAGAAACAAAGCAAACCAAGCGGAAACCAAACAAACGGAAAACAAAAAGAATGGAACCAAAGCAAACCAACCGCACCCAACCAACGGAAAACAAAAGAACCAAAGCAAACCAAGCGGAAACCAAACAAACGGAAAACAAAAACAATGGAACCAAAGCAAGCAAACCGCACCCAACCAACGGAACACAAACAAAAAAGAACCAAAGCAAACCAAGCGGAAACCAAACAAACAGAAAACAAAAACAATGGAACCAAAGCAAACCAACCGCACCCAACCAACGGAAAACAAACAAACAAGAACCAAAGCAAACCAAGCGGAAACCAAGCAAACGGAAAACCAAAAACAACGGAACCAAAGCAAACCACTCGCACCCAACCAACGGAACACAAACAAAAAAAATACCAAAGCAAACCAAACGGAAACTAAACAAACGAAAAACACAAACAACAAAACCAAAGCAAGCAAACCGCACCCAACCAACGGAAAACAAACAAAAAAGAACCAAAGCAAACCAAGCGGAAACCAAACAAACGGAAAACCAAAAACAACGAAACCAAAGCAAACCACTCGCACCCAACCAACGGAAAACAAAAGAACCAAAGCAAACCAAGCGGAAACCAAACAAACGAAAAACCAAAAACAATGGAACCAAAGCAAAACAACTGCACCCAACCAACGGAAAACAAACAAAAAAGAACCAAAGCAAACCAAGCGGAAACCAAGCAAAAGGGAAAACCAAAAGCAACGGAACCAAAGCAAACCACTCGCACCCAACCAACGGAAAACAAGCAAAAAAGAACCACAGCAAACCAAGAGGAAACCAAACAAACGGAAAATAAAAACAATGGAACCAAAGCAAGCAAACCGCACCCAGCCAACGGAAAACGAACAAAACAGAACCAAAGCAAACCAAGCGGAAACCACACAAACGCAAAAACAAAAACAACGAACTCAAAGCAAACCACTCGCACCCAACCAACGGAAGACAAACAAGAACCAAAGCAAACCAAGCGGAAACCAAACAAACGGAAAACAAAAACAATGGAACCAAAGCAAGCAAACCGCACCCAGCCAACGGAAAACAAACAAAAAAGAACCAAAGCAAACCAAGCAGAAACTAAACAAACGGAAAACCAAACACAACGGAACCAAAGCAAACCAGCGGCAGCCAGCCAACGGAAAACAAACAAAAAAGAACCAAAGCAAACCAAGCGGAAACCAAACAAACGGAAAACCAAAAACAACGGAACCAAAGCAAGCAAACCGCACCCAACCAACGGAAAACAAACAAAACAGAACCAAAGCAAACCAAGCTGAAACCAAACAAACGGAAAACAAAAAACAATGGAACCAAAGCAAGCCAACCGCACCCAACCAACGGAAAACAAATAAAACAGAACCAAAGCAAACCAAGCGGGAAACCAAACAAACGGAAAACCAAAAAACAACAGAACCAAAGCAAACCACTCGCACCCAACCAACGGAAAAACAAACAAAAAAACACCAAAGCAAACCAAGCGGAAACCAAACAAACGGGAAACCAAAAACAATGGAACCAAAGCAAGCAAACCGCACCCAGCCAACGGAAAACAAACAAAAAGAACCAAAGCAAACCAAGCGGAAACGAAACAAACCACTCGCACCCAACCAACGGAAAACAAACAAAAAAGAACCAAAGCAAACCAAGCGGAAACCAAACAAACGGAAAACCTAAACAATGGAACCAAAGCAAGCCAACCGCACCCAGCCAACGGAAAACAAACAAACAAGAACCAAAGCAAACCAAGCGGAAACCAAACAAACGGAAAAACAAAAACAACGGAACCAAAGCAAACCAACCGCACCCAGCCAACGGAAAACAAACAAAAAAGAACCAAAGCAAACCAAGCGGAAACCAAACAAACGGAAAACCAAAAACAACGGAACCAAAGCAAACCAACCGTACCCAGCCAACGGAAGACAAAAAAGCAGACCCAAAGCAAACCAAGCGGACACCAAACAAACGGAAAACAATAAACAGTGGAACCAAAGCAAACCAACCGCATCCAGCCAACGGAAAACAAACAAAAAAGAACCAAAGCAAACCAAGCGGAAACCAAACAAACGGAAAACACAACAACGGAACCAAAGCAAACCAACCGCACCCAACCAACGGAAAAAAACAAAACAAAAAAGAAACAAAGCAAACCAAGTGCAAACCAAACAAACGGAAAACCAAAAACAATGGAACCAAAGAAAACTAACCGCACCCAACCAACGGAAAACAAAAGAACCAAAGAAAACCAAGCGGAAACCAAACAAACAGAAAACAAAAAAACAATGGAACCAAAAAAACCAACCGCACCCAACCAACGGAAAACAAACAAAAAAACAGACCAAAAGCAAACCAAGCGGAAACCAAACAAACGGAAAACCAAAAACAACGGAACCAAAGCAAACCACTCGCACCCAACCAACGGAAAACAAACAAAAAAGAACCAAAGCAAACCAAGCGGAAACCAAACAAACGAAAAACACAAACAACAAAACCAAAGCAAGCAAACCGCACCCAGCCAACGGAAAACAAACAAAAAAGAACCAAAGCAAACCAAGCGGAAACCAAACAAACGGAAAACACAACAACGGAACCAAAGCAAACCAACCGCACCCAGCCAACGGAAAACAAAAGAACCAAAGCAAACCAAGCGGAAACCAAACAAACGGAAAACCAAAAACAATGGAACCAAAGAAAACTAACCGCACCCAACCAACGGAAAACAAACAAAAAATAACCAAAGCAAACCAAGCGGAAACCAAACAAACAGAAAACAAAAAAACAATGGAACCAAAAAAACCAACCGCACCCAACCAACGGAAAACAAACAAAAAAAGAACCAAAGCAAACCAAGCGGACACCAAACAAACAGAAAACCAAACACAACGGAACCAAAGCAAACCAACCGCACCCAACCAACGGAAAACAAAAGAACCAAAGCAAACCAAGCGGAAACCAAACAAACGGAAAACCAAAAACAATGGAACCAAAGCAAGCCACTCGCACCCAGCCAACGGGAAAACAAACAAACAAGAACCAAGGCAAACCAAGCGGAAACCAAACAAACAGAAAACAAAACATAATGGAACCCAAAAGAATCAACCGCACCCAACCAACGGAAAACAAACAAAAAAAGAACCAAAGCAAACCAAGCGGACACCAAACAAACGGAAAACCAAAAACAACGGAATCAAAGCAAACCACTCGCACCCAGCCAACGGAAAACAAACAAAAAAGAACCAAAGCAAACCAAGCGGAAACCAAACAAACGGAAAACCAAAAACAATGGAACCAAAGCAAGCCACTCGCACCCAGCCAACGGGAAAACAAACAAACAAGAACCAAGGCAAACCAAGCGGAAACCAAACAAACAGAAAACAAAACATAATGGAACCCAAAAAAATCAACCGCACCCAACCAACGGAAAACAAACAAAAAAAGAACCAAAGCAAACCAAGCGGACACCAAACAAACGGAAAACCAAACACAACGGAACCAAAGCAAGCCCGCCTGCAGCTCCTCGAAGCCGCTCATGTCGGGTAGATGC